GAAGTTGCTAGAACCTGAATATAGGCAAAGAAGTATAAATTGATTTCCAATAATGGTGCTGAGTAATTACTCGAACAACCCACCATGGGAAGTGTGGATGCTTCATCGCCTCATGTTATCAGAGAGCATGAGGCTAGTGCCTCTCTGCAAAGGTTGCACTAGCCTAAAGCACAATTTGAGGACAGAGCAGAGGCATGATGTAGGATGAAACTAAAAAGCTGTCGTATTCATAACATCAGCTTAGATATTATGATAACCCCCATAATCTTAAAATTTTAAAATATAAACTTATTGTTCCTCCCATTCAGGCAGGAAATCTCAAATCTGGAGATTAAATTGTTTGCCCAGTGTCACATAGCAAGTCCCTAGTAGCCCTAGAAATGAATCCCTATCTACATAGTGCATTCAATACAGCTACAGCTCAAAGAAAAATGTAGTTGATTAGTGAAAAAGGGATTCAAGCACCGCAGGACTTGCTTAAACTTATCAAGCCATATGTTATTCTTTTACTTCTTCATGTGAAGCAGCCCCACATATCACGTATCAGAAGTGTCTGATATCACTCATGAAAGTTATAAGCCTCTGATAAAAAATTGTGGAAACTGTCACTGTCTTCCTGCATCCTGTTTTTAGTAATATTTTTAGTATAAGGAATGAGCTATTATCCGTATTACTATTTTGTTTATTCCTGTAATTTATGTCTGTCTAGACCACTTCTTAGACTTTTTTAATGTTTTCCTGCTGTAAACCAAACACATAGCCACTGATGTTGTTGAAAGTCTGACTTCAGGGGAAGCAAAGCTGGCTCATTCTGGTAACTTAGTGTTGTATGTAGCATATTATAGCACAAAAATATGGCTCTGCATAGGGCCTCATTGTCAAGAAGTTTAATCTATCCCAGTGCAGCTCCAACTGACTGTTTAGTGAATTACATATCCCCTCTGTGTCTGACCCACAGCAAATGTAATTTTGGTAATGTTCTCAGACAGGAGGCCTTTTGCTCAAGCTCCTAAGGTTCAGACCTCAGCTGCGGAAGTCCCAGGTCTAACTGCAATGCAGTGCTATTGATTTGATTAGTATTTCAAGAAAAGTAAGAATGAAAAAAGTTTTTCCCTGGAGTTTGTCCCAGTCTTGTGCAAACTATTAGTATAACTCTCCTATATTGACTAATTTCTGGACTTTCAATTTCCATAAGAGAAAAAAACATTTAAGCTACCCTTTAAGCTATTTGCATTTTTTAAGTTGCTACATTTTTACTCCATTAGGAAATAAGAAAGAAACTGTAAGATTTCTGCCATGGTGGCATCAGGCAACTTTGGCTGCGTTTCTGTAACTAAATTGGCAAAAATATCTAAAGAATTACAGCATGTGCATGAAAGAAAAATCCTGAAGTAGGCATATGTGGTCTCAGTCTTGAAAATGGAGGCAGCCAACAGAACACAACCTATGAAATGGAGGCAGCAGATTAATAACAGCTTTTTTTTTGTAGCACTATACCAGATTTTCTAACTGACTGCATTTGATATGCTTGAAAGACTGCATTATCACACAGTCAGCTCCTGAAATGGTCAGCAAATTTTAGAACTGTGGCTCTACATACTCAGGAAATGAATTGTGAAATTATGATTTTAAATATTTTGCAAAAACCTTTCATCTGCTTTATGTAAGAGGATGCTTAGATGCCTTTTTCTGTTTAGGAATATTTCTCACAGGAAAACATTTAAAGTTTGGGATTCATTTTATGCAACTTTAGCCACCTGGAAGTTAATTTTATAAATTTGAGCTAATAATCCAGGCAACTTTCATAATCAGTGGAGAGAGGTAAGAAGCTTCTGTTGGAGCGCACATCATCCCTACTGTCTTCCCCCCGCCAGTGCAGAGCGGGATAACTGCTTTCAGGAGGTGCCTGGTTTGTCCCTTTGACTATAGAGAAAGCCTGTACAACCAGGTGACTAACCTTAAATGATATGAATCTTATCTATTATCTATTATCTAAGTATTTAGTATGGATTTTAACCCTCTCTGCTCTAGTCTCCCTCAATGCACACCCAAATCCCAGTAGTGAAATGAATCAGGGTTAAGGTAGCTGTATTGCTGTGAAACGTGCTGGTGTGGAGCAGATACTGCTGTATGTGCTTCTTGGGCTCTTCTGATTTGGGCAAGCAGTGCCACACAAGAAAGGAGGAACAGCGAGCAGGCAGCTGCCCTCTTCCACTGCACAAAGAAAGCAGTGATGAGAATAAATGTACAGTTTGAAACAAAAAACTCCCATTGATTCACATTTTTCCAGCTAGATATTAACTTTTTTTTTTTTTTTTCCAAGCAGGGGACAAAAATATTATCCCAGACCATTTGCCTGTCCTGGTTCATCAGGAGTTTCGTGAAACATTTGTGCTGGCAGGACAGAGGGATGATACTGCTGCAAGATAAAGGAGCGAACTGGAAAGGCTGCATGGGGACTGCTTAAGCCTGCACAGCTCTCTGTGGCTTAGTCAAATGCTGAATCCAGCCCTTCGACTTTGAGGACAGGTAGATGTCCTCATAGTATGATGGTGTGATAGTATGACCCATGGTCATAGGTATGTGGGCAGTATGATCGTTATGATCCAGCTACACAGCTAGATCTTTTACATATCTTTTTCTTCTGCTACTGCATCTCCTGTTGTACTTTCTGTGCTCCTGTCATTCAGCCATACTATTTGTTTTTTATCTTTTCACCAGCCTTCATATTTTACATGCTAAGTGTTTTCTTCAGATTAGCCAGTGCATTACTACTTTCAAACTATTTAATAGGAAGGATTAGCCTCTTGGCACATTTAATTGTTGTCTTAAGCCTGTAAATGATATTGTTATTAAGAAAGAGTTTCTGAGATGCAGCCTGTTTGCAGGGTTTCCTGCCTGAAGGCTTGCTGATCTCATTTTTCTACTCTTTCCACAGGGCTCTTCTATGTCAGACAATGTCTGAGGGTCACTGTTCTGAGTATCAGGGAGTCTTCCCAGGTACACACATGAAGGGCAGCCCAAATCAAGCAAGCGGAAACTTCTGCCTCTGCCTGATAGACCCTGCAGTGCTGCAGCTATGTCGAGTCCCATCCAAAAGCATTCCCCTATTGCTAGTGTCTAGGGGGACCCAGATCCACTGCACTATATGCTCCAAATACACGTATAAACAGAATCAATAACCCCTCTCCAAAGACTTTTCACCATACATTATGTTACAGACACTGCACTAAGAATTTTGGACTCAAAAAAAGCAGCACAATAGCTTAAAAAAAGAGTTAAAAAAAAAAAATAGAGGCTGAGGGTAAGGTTTATTGTCCTTCACATGTTTAAATCTTTGTTGTCCAGTTTTCAAATTTTTCTCTAGACTCATAACAGTTGTTATTTTAAATGAAAGCTTACAGTCGCAGTCATTAATTTCACCCATGTCCCTACACATCAGCAATGGAGAGAGTTAGTGGCCCCTGAACGGTGGCCGCAGGGAGATTCAGGAGACTGAAGTGATGTGTGGGGGCAGCCAAGAGGAAACACGAGGCGTACAGACTTAAGTGGAATTCAGGCTGTTTGCGTACCATCCTATTGAGCCTCCTGACCCTAGGAGAGGCTGACGTTTTAAATGAAACACTGTGATTAATGATAAGCACACAAGGCCAAGCGATGGCTAGCAAGGAGAACAAATCTTTCTGTATTTCATTTATTTCCTAATCTCAGAAATAAGTTTAATAATTGCAAGCTCTCATCAAGTTAAGTACACCAAAGACTGAGGGAGCAGCAATACTGTGGTAATAGGGTCACAGAAGCAGCTTTCCCAGCGCTGTGTGGTTCTGGGAGTGCATAATGTTGATATCACCTTATCACACAGTAACTCAGGTTCCTCTTGGGTTTCTGAGCAGTGCTCTTTGGAGGTGTTTGCTATGGGCCTAGGGCACAAGCTAGCCCATTTATCTTGCACAAGTTGTGGCAGAAATTAGCTTTATCAGATTGAAAGCATATTTTCAAAACCCAATATGTTTCAAACTATATTAAGAAACATTTCTTCCATGTAGTGGAAAAAACTCACAGATTATTTTTCCTTTTAGTTAGTTTTCTGTGAATTTGGGACACTTTGTATTGGTTTGGGAGGTTTCTTGGTTTATAAATTTTCAGCAGAGCAATAGGATTTGGAATTATATCTGTCTGGTAGGGCATGTCTGCATGGCATGTCAAATGTGTGATCGTGGATAATAAAAATACTTCTCCTTGCTTGTTGGAAATGAGCTCACTCATGTTCTGCTATACATGTAACCCAAGCAGCACAGGCTTGAGTGTGTGTTAGTGAGCCAGCTGTACACCTACAGTGCATCTGTACTAATAAGCAAAGTAGGCCAACATTAACACTCCCTCCTTAAGGGCAAGCAGCACGGCTGTTGTGGTTTAACCTCAGTCAGCAACTGAGCACCACACAGCTGCTTGCTTACTCCCACCCCCCCTCGGTGGGATGGGGAAGAGAATCGGAACAGTAAAAGTGAGAAAACTCGTGGGTCGAGATAAAGGCAGTTTAATAGGTAAAGCAAAAGCTGCACACGCAAGCAAAGCAAAACAAGGAATTCATTCACTCCTTCCCATGGGCAGGCAGGTGTTCAGCCATCTCCAGGAAAGCAGGGCTCCATCACACATAACGGTTACTTGGGAAGACAAACGCCATCACTCCAAACATGCCCCCTTCCGTCTTCTTCCCCCAGCTTTATATGCTGAGCATGACGTCATATAGTATGGACTATCCCCTTGGTCAGTTGGGGTCAGCTGTCCCAGCTGTGTCCACTCCCAACTCCTTGTGCACCCCCAGCCTACTCGCTGGTGGGGTGAGGAGCAGAAAAGGCCTTGACTCTGTGTAAGCACTGCTCAGCAGTAACAAAAACATCCCTGTATTATCAACACTGTTTCCAGCACAGATCCAAAACACAGCCCCATCCTAGCTACTGTGAAGGAAATTAATGCTATCCTAGGCAAAACCAGCAGACCCATCAGCAATTTTATTATATATCTCGATTTTACAGTCAACATTTTATATTACAACAGAAGAGGTACAAAAATGAGCATGAAGACAAAGTCTTGACCTATAGTCAGATAAAACCTACTTGAAAGTGTTGGTACGTGTCTGCGTTGCTGCACCTAAGTAGTTACATAACAGAGTACAAATAAAAATACGTTTCACTTAATGTAAGCATTATGGGCGAGGTCTTGGGTGTGGTCCAGCTATGCTCAGTGCAGGCCTGTGTTTGCAGAGCAAAGGTTTATCTAGAGATGCTCAAAACTACACCAGCTTGTATAGTTCCATAAGGGTGCTTCACACTCTGGGTAGTCACTAAAACATATGGCATTGTAACTTTCTGCCTGTGGGATCATGGAAACCTAGGTCTGCCTAATGAATTGGGAATTGCTGGTTATGCTGGCACTGCAACACCTAGGAGTATATCATTAGCAAATGTGTCAATGGCACTGCACAAAGGCACTACAGCCGAGGCCACAAGCTGACCTCAGATCTTTATTATGTTATAAACACTGCACTTGAATATGCGTATGAGACCGGCAAAATGCAAATCAAAGGAAATCAATGAAACCTGCTGTTTCAGTGTACTATGGCATGTCCATGCCTGTGAATTATACACAGCAAGACATCACCTTTCACCTCAGAAACAGAGGTCAAGAGAGACTCCTTATTGTGGCAACGTTTTGACGTTTGTCTCTATTCCAGCGGATGGCCAAGCTGTGGCCTGAGGGACCTTTTATGAAAGTTGGAAGGCTTACCCTTTCTGCTATATTAAGACTAAAACGTAATCTGAACTGCAACGGTGTTTCCAGTAGCATTTTAATGGGCTTGTCCGAGTCAGTTGCTATTTTCTCTCCCCAGCTACACACTTGACCCATTCTTACAGATGCTGGCAACCCTCAAATGGTTTCTGGTCTCTTCTTGGTTCAGCTCAGCCGTTTCCCCACCAGCCACTTACTGTGATGCCCATTAAAAGGTAACAACCACCCTGCCTCTTTCATCGCTTGCTTTACCTGCTCAGAGGTGCCACAGTCCCTGGGAGAAACATGATTTATACCATGTGCCACTGGGCAATGTTCCCCTCTGGGGGATGTTGCACTGGGATGCAGGGAGAGCGTAGCATGCTCCAGTCATTTCCCACCCAGTCTTGCAGCGGGGAGGAAGCTGAGCGCTGATCCAGGCAAGTTCTGCCTCTGCTGGAACATCTCTTTCTTCTCTGTGCACGCCCCAGGGAATCCCTGCTCTGAGCCTCTGGGCACAAGGGGAGCTGTACAGGAGGGGGCAAACGAGGGCAAAGCATCTGCCCTCAACCACTGAACATGCCCCCGGCCCCTCTGAAATAGTATGTTTGTGTGTGTGTGTGTGTACAGTAATCACACCTAAAGTATCATCTCCTGCTATTTGGCTGTTAGTATCACAGCAAGGATTTCTGGTTATGGACTCTGTACACGCCACGCTACTACTTATCACTCTAAGCTATGTAGCCACATCTTTTCCAGCTTTACACACAAATAATGAAAGTCTTCAGTAGTGCAGAGGACTCCATTTCATGGAGTTGCCGTGGTGTTGGTGCAAAGTCTGCAGTCTGTGTGGTCAGGATTGAGCACACACTGAAGGAGCTGAACTGGCCTGTGATAAGACACAAAAACAAATATTTAGTAACCACTTTGCAAGTGCAACACAATAACTCTACAGTTACTAAATGCAACATGAAAGTCAAAGTGCATGTAACATCTGCGCTTATCAAGTGGATGTCTTGTCTATGGATAATTTTTTTAGATCTTGCTGCAGAAAGATAACTTTGGTGTTTATAGGGGCTAGGGACAAGAGCAAGTGAGTACGAAATAAAAGTAGGGTGTGAACTCACAGCATGTCAGCTACGCTGTGATAACAAAAATAATTATGAAAAAGAAGTAAGAGCTCTTGCACAGACTACGGAGTTGCTGCCATGCTGGAAGTTCACCATCTTGCTTACTGAGTGGTAACCCCTACTGCTACAATGTAAAGCTGTTGCTAACAATGTCAGATATGATTAGATTTTCTTCTAGAAGTACATCCAGTGAATCTATTTTTTGAGTTACTTCTGGAAGACACTGCTGACATGGACAAAAGCAGGAGAAAATGATCAGCATCATTTGCTATGTGGCATGAAAAGCCAGATGCTCAGCTGATACGGACCCAGACGGTTCTGTCTGCAATGACTTCAGGGGAGTGAAGCTAAATTGTACAGTCTATCCTGAAGAGTTTTACTGCACATGTAAATTGCTTATTTTATTATTGCTTCATATATAAAACAGTAAAATTAATTGTCCGTGTTACTCTACACAGTTGTTTATGTATGTATTAGTTGAGCTCTGACAAAAAGCCCTACTTGTTATTCTACCGTAAGAAGTGAGTTGTGGGCCACAGCAATGAGTGTGTCAACAACTCTTCATGACGTGTTACAGGTTTCTCCTTGTGCTGAGCCACGAGGGTCTAAGCTATTACATATTTCCCGTTCCTCCCTGGCCCCTTAGCATCCTTCATCATAGGCTGAAATAATCTGTACCTACTTACAGGTCCTGGGAGTATTGGTTAAAGGCTGCATTTACCCAAAGAGAAAGTGAGTACACAACCATCATGATCTGGCAGATCCATGCACCACACCAGTGCTAATTTTTTCACAATGTGCAGAGCACCTATTAATCAATGAGGTTCAGCAATAGCTAAACAGGAATATACTGCTCTGCCTTCAGGATTAAGGTCCTATCACCAGCTAAGGCATTTGTCTCCTTTGCAGACCAACTTTTCCTTACGTAAAACTAATGTCACAAACTCAGTAGTTTATAGAAATGTTTGTTTACTTTGGAAATGTTCTTATCCAAGTATGAGTTCTTCACTCTGAAAAGCTGTTCCTGACAGGTAAGATATGAGTAATATTGAACCTTTGCTGCTTTTCTAATGTCACTAAAGAACACTTTTGCTCTGTGTGAAGGTCTCTGAACCTGCACAGAGGGATAAAGGGTCTCAGGCTTTTGTATCTCCTCAGCAGGCAGATAGAGATTTCAGGCAAGTCAGAACTTGGGCTGCTGTTTCCTGGACTCCTGTTTTTCTCTCCTGACAATGGTGAATTATAGTAATTAATAACGCTTATCATGTCTCACGCCTCTCTCTGACAAAGCAGCTGGACAGAAAATAAGCTCAAACTATAGCAAAGGAAGTAAGGACCATCCTTGACATACTGCGTTATCTGCATGCAGCAGGGAGGAAAGCTGCTTATTTTGTCCTGATTGTTGTAGGTAAAAGCCCGGTCAGATGAAAATCTGTTGAAGGAGGCTGGATTGCTCCTTCCCTGAAGACAACTGAACACGCCCAATGGCAAGTGCAGGGCAGAGAGCAAGCCCCAGACCCAGCCAACACGAGGTCTGCAGCGCGAGTGGAAGCCCCCGAGAAGCACACAGTCACATTGAAGGGATGTGATGGCAGTAAAAGGGCAGTCTGCTCTGACTTGCTGTAAACCTATATTAAGTCAAGAGGGAGATGCAATATTAGTTTTGTGTTAGCAAGTTGTCACCAATAAGAGCAGGTAATTACCTGTAATTGTCTTCACAGGTGACCTTAAAGTTTCGCTCTTCTAAGATGCTTTTTAACCTCTTTATGGAATGACCTGAGCAGGATTCACTGGAGAGAAAAGTCTTTTGTTACTTGTGTTCCTTTTGTGTACAAGAAGCTCAGCTAAATTCCACACTATGTCACTTTGCTTTACTTCAGGTAAGATTCTTTAAAAGCTTGTTTGCTAATGTGCTGTAAAGTCCATTGGGTTTGTGGAGTTTTGGCTACCATTGGGCCTTTGCTGGTAGAAACTATGTGATATTCAGCTGTGCATCTTGCACGAGAACTTTGTGCAGGAAGATATCCATGGGAAATAACTCAGTTCCATTCACAGTTCAATGTGCTCTAGAACTGCTCCAGAGCTGCTGGTGGCCTCCATCCACAGGAGCACGATATAAGGCTCATTCAAATCTGTGGAAGGACAAAGGGATCAAGTCCTCTGTGTGATGTGGAAAGGACAATCATGAAAACCAGCAGCTAAGTCCCAGGTAGGACATAAGATAAGAGGAAGCAGATAGAAAACATGGGAGGAAGCAGACTATGAGCACCTCCTACCTGTTTGACTCAGTCTGTGGCTGCTGCTACTCTGTTTTGACAAGGGGCTGTTTCAACCACTTTTCCACTGGTAGGAGCCCTAACTTGTGTATTTCTTTTCCATCCAGCTAATGGTTTCATGAAGCATGTAGCAATGTCATACCTTTGAGATATTTATCTCTATGCTTAATTTGCTTGAAATAGCCCAAGGTGCCCCAAAACTGTAGTGAGAGGGTTGACAACTGTCATAGACACAGAGACGCTGCAAAAGACTTGTTTCCTCAGGATAAAAATCATCTCCTGGTCCAGAGTATAGGACACACATCAGGGCAATAATACAATACTGGGGCAAATCCAGTTCCTAACATTTGGCATTAGTGGAAAGCAGAGCCAGCTCTTCTTTGTTCACTAGACTTGCCAGATGTTATCAGTGATTCAACATGGAATAAAAATCAGAAGATAAAAAGAATACATATTATTGGAGTTACCCTCCCTCTTTCTCCTTGGATGTAAGCAGAAAATAAAAAGGAAACTGCTGTGAACTTGGCACAGGAGGAGGATGTGTCAAGAAGGCTGGCAAGGCACCACGTTGTTGAAGCTGTTGAGGAGAAACATGACGGCTTTTCTGATGTTGGGAAATCGTGGGAGAAAGGATCAAGTGCCATGTCTGGGGGAACTAATGTACAAATTACTCAATGCCCTTTTCTTCAGCAAACCTCTGTGCAACGGGCCACAAGAGTATGTCTGGCATGCTGAGCACAGGATAGATGCACGCCTGTGAGCTGTGATAGGTGTGTCAGCTTGCGTGGCAAAGAGACACTTCTGGGTGTCTGGGCTAGGGGAGGGGTTGCAGCACTGGAGCTGGTACTGTGTCAGACAGTGAGGCTGTCTGAGCAAGGGTCTCTGCTGGGTCCACACTCATTACTGAGTTGCACCGCATCATCACGGCCTGCTTCCTGACCCACAGCATCAAAGCTGCTGCCTCCGTCATGGGGGGTCCTTAGGAACGGGAGAAATCATGGCAATGCATTGTAACCATGTGACCCACAGAACCGGCTCTGAAAATAGGGGTCAAAGGCACTGAGCCTCATGTTCAGTGCTTGAAATATGACAGATCTGCAAATGAATCTGATCAGGACTAAAAAGGTCACTCAGAAAGGCTCAGATGTGATTTGAGGTCACCGTTCTGGTATCAGTAATTCCATGGTAAGCATTTAAACTACAGATTTGTTATTAAAAATCACAGAATCATTTAGGTTGGAAGGGACTGCTTGAGATCGTCTAGTCCAACCAATATTAGCTAGAGCAGGTTGCCCAGGACCCAGTCGGGTTTTGAGTATGCCACAGATGGAGACTCCACAACCTCTCTGGGGAACCTGTTCCAGCATTTGAAATTATTTTATCAAAAATGGTTCTGCTCAGCATAATTATACTATTCCTGTGGACAAACATATTTTCCAGCTGTTCACCCTTGCAAACACAGCCTGCTCTGTGACTTCAGTGCTGCACCCATAATAAAAGCCTGTAGAGCTCAGTGGGGTTGGAAGGAATTTAAACGTCATGGAACCCCTTGAAAGCAAGGAAAATGTCATTGTGTCTTAGCTATAACTGTTCAGCAGTACCTACGAAAAATACTAAAGAAAACAACAGTACAAATGTTATTCTTTCCAGTAAAGTAAGCAGCTAGGAGACCGAATGTAGAGCGGGTTTCGTGAGCAGGTTTAAGACAGTGTCACTGTTAGACAGCCACTCATCAGAACTGAGCTGCGCTGTCTGCCTTCTACACACTGCTCATCGTTTCGTACCGGCGTACTTACCTTTGAGGTCCACCGATGTCATGCATAAGCCAAATGTGTACTGCAGAGACTTTATCTGGATTTAGGTTAAAGATCTCAATACTTCCAAAGATGCTGTAAGAATGGGACGTGAAAAAGAGAAACATTCTTACTTATCTGAGAAAGACATACAGAGTATGTTCCCCAAATACTAGTGCTTATTAGTGCTGCTGTTACTCTCAGTGAAAGAACATTACCTTGCCAATGGATTTTCATAGACTATTTAATTGCCTTACGGTAAAATATTTTCTCCCCATTCTTATTCCACTTTCAGGAGAACTTTTGAAACTGTCTGCAGACTGAAACAAGCTGAAGTTTTTCCATCTTCAGTGCCTTTTCTCCTGTTCAGTTTATTGGCTATTGATTTGGTTTGGTGCAAGGGAAATGAACACGGCTGTTCCCCTGACCAGCATATTCTTCATCTTTCAATATTATTCAGGACTGCACTTCCAGCCAGGTAACCCAAGGAAGCACAGTTTGGAGGAGTAAAATCCAGTCAGCTCCATGAACAGTTAGAAATGTGTCATTCATGTGTAATGAATAAATAAACTGTAAGAATAAAGTTACTTTGTGCAGTAAGAGCATATGGGATACCCCACCCAGATACCCTCTGAAGGATTTCAATTACAGTCACTGTATAGAAGGAGTTAAGTGAACCAGCTCTACAACGGCCAATGGTTTAGACCCCTGTATGAGTTTACCAAAATCCATTCTGCACTGGGACTCACTGGCAAAGACACATTCACCAGCATGCAGGCCCCACAGAAACATGGATGGTGGCACGCTGAGTAAATACCTGCTGCTTCTGAAAGCTCCAACTTCTACTGATCCATTGAGCATCACTTGAACCACACCACATGCTGCTTCTGCAAACTGCACAAAACAAATGGACATTATACTCTGACACTACATGCAGTGCCACGTCAGACTCAGGGCTAGTAGAAATTACTGTAACTTCTTTGATGTCATCAGAACTGACTTACATAAGTTGAGGATCTGGCCAATATTTTTGCAGAACATGTCAGTGCAAAAAAAAAAAAGCCTCTAAAGGCTATGGCAAAACTGTGATAAAGCTGCATTAGCCAGCTATGAATTGGCAGTCTGAGGTTGCATGGAATTGGTATAGCAACTTTGCTGTCACTGCTGTTTGCAGTTTTTATAGGGCTTTCCAAAGGCCCAGCAGCTACAGCTGTCTGATGGGGCTGTAGTAACTTGGAACTCAGACTGCTTTAACTCAGGCAGTGAGGATGAGCCAGAACAGAGGTACCACTAATTTAAGGATGCGCAAACCGTTGTGTATTCATTAGCTTGTGACTCATGCTCTGTGTTCTTTTGTGGCTTGGGATTTTTCTCCCCAGTGGCTTTAGTAAAACTCATCACTGAGTTTTGTTTGATTTGATTTTTAAATTACTGGATCATGTAATCACTGCTCTTTCATTCTTCAAAACTCATGTCCAAATATTTAAAGACTACTAAGGTTACAACATAAAGTACCCACATTAAATATATAATCCATTGGTAAGACAAAGAATTTTTAAAAAGCTTAACACGGGTAACTGTACTTATCAAATCTTCCAAGTCTCTTACATCTGAACAATGTGGCTCAAACTCAGATCTCGAGAGCTATGAAGTGGCAGGAAAGTTTCATTAGGTGTAACTTTCTAATGTAATAAGCATGAGTTTTAGTATATCTTAAATTTATTTGAACTAGAAAGCCTGCAGTTGAGCAAGCCTGACTCTATATGGTGGTTTATTCCTCCCAGACTCTGGAACTGAGGGGATTAATGAGAACATAGAAACTGTTTTGAGCTTGGAAAACTTATGTACACTAGTTTACCCACAAAACAATTTTTTTAATAGTGAGTAGACTTTTTCTTACATACATGAGAGCTGAAGCATACAGGAATGCTTGTTTTCCACCTGGGCAGTCATCTGCTAATAGGCATATCAAGGGTGAAGTTTTGAGAGACATGTAAAACTAAACAGATACAGGAGAGCCGGTTTTTTTTCTGGCAGTTTTTTTCTGTAAAGTGCTGATTCAACAAAGCCAGGCTAACTGCTTAACTCAGACTAGCAGGGTCTCATTCATGTGATAGGAGTTGGCATGTGTGTACGGGTGGGTACATCATAGGAACCTTGCCAGATACTGTTGTGGGAGGACGTGCTCTTCAGGTTTATGCTGGGAAGGTGCAAGGGGATTCTCAGCTGCTTGGAAAATTTCTATGCCAGTTTGGGCACTGCTCTCAACATTAACATGCTAAAATGTATTCTACGTTAGCAATTTCAGTCCTGTGATTTAATTACGGTGGTGATTACTATTATTGTAAGCATTATTTGTAAAGCTCCAGCTGTCTGCCAAGTGTTTTTCTAGACACTGGCACGCAGTCTCTGTCCACAAATAAGAATGCCCAAACTACAGTGACATTAAATGTTGTACATAAAATATGAGACCTTGGAAATACAAATTTCCAATGCCATGATTTTTAGTACCTGAAGCTAAAGCTCATGTGAACTTTTACTATTCCATGTTTTGAGTCCAATCTGCAAACTCACATTTTTGGCAGTGTCAGGAACTTAGTGCCTTTCAACATTCTTGGATTTGGGGAGATTTATTCTAGATCTTACCATCTTGGATGCCATTTTCCAGAATACAGAGCTAGGGTTGCTCTCACATTCACTTCGTTTTGGACAAGATTCATAGTTGATTCCTGAAAATAAATACATTTATAGAATAGCTAAGGTTAGAATGAATATTGTTACAATATTTATATGGCTTTGAGAGCTGATTAATGATGGCAAAAAGATTTGCCCCCTACCAAAGCAAGAAGGCTACATGAGGAAAGGGCTCTAAGAGGAAAAGGAATTTGCATGTGTGTTCAAAGGGCTTCCTGTTTGCTCACACACGTTTCAGGGAGGCAGCTGCAGGCCCTGTATGCAAATAATTCTCAGAAAACTGAGAAGGGAAAACATGTAGTCCTAAATGTGAGAAACAGGTTGGCTCTTGACAAATACTGTCCAACTGCATTGAAAAATTAAACTTTGCCCAACATTTTCAGTAATTCCAGCCCAGTTTAGATGTTGCTAGCCTTAAGCACCAACCCAGGAGTCATGCAGGCAGCAATAACCCCAGGGTACCTACATGCTGCCCCCGCCACTTTGACTGGCCTATGGCCAGGACCTTTTTGAATGGCATTCTTGTTTTGCAATTTGTCCCATAGAAGTCACAGGAAGGAAGCGAGTAATCTAGAGAAAGAGGGCTAGATGTGACCATTAGTCCAAGCAGCAACTTGGTATTTTAGTAACAGCCAAAGTTGTGTTTTGTAAATTAACCCGAGAACTAAGTATTATTTTCAGTCTTCCATAACATGGGACAGAAATACAGTTAAGGTTTTAAACTAAATTACAAGAAAAGAATATGTGAAAAGGATTGTGTTTAGGTCTAGATATACAAGATAAAAGAATAATCTGGAATTCTAGTTTTGCAAAAAATAGGACTTATTACCTGGGGCAGAGGGGTCTCCACACCATGAAACCCTATCAGCCATATAACCCAACAAGGTGTCCTCCAAGGTAAGGAAATTTTGATTGGATTTTGTATAACGATGAGCGAGGTCACTTGTCTTGCTCCAAAACAGTGACTGTGAAATAAGGTACAACGTCTAATAAGTGATACTTATACTAGAGCTAGTCAGGAAATTTTCCTAGAGAAAAAAAAAAGTTTTCATGATAATGAAGGAGTTTTAGTTTTTACTGAAATGCTGCAAGTTCACCTTAGTGGGTCAGTTCTTATTTCTGCAGCCCATGCTCCCATTTCCAAAATCTTTTTGGGTGATTATGTTTTGTGGAAATGGATGTGTTCAGCCTGTAAAGCATTTTAAAAGAAACGTTTTGACTAGTTCTCATAGGATATATACCTAATTTGTTGCGTGCTTTTGAAGTGCACGTGGAAGACTAGCTTTTTGGAAGCAGTGTCCCTCTAACAGCATGATCGCATGATCCTTACAGAGAGCCGTATGCTCAGGGAACAGGGACATATCCGTCACTTCATCAGGACGACCCCGGTACGGAGGTTTGAGACAAGCCTTACACAGGGATGATTTCCAGCGGTAGAGAATGAAGAGGGTTACTGGGCTCCAAAAGTGATAACTGCAGGACTATTGCAGTAAGCGCAAGAGCAAAATATCATCCTCGTTGACCTACAGACCCTCACAATCTTTAGGGACAAGATCCCATCACTCAGAGCACTGCACAGACATGCTGTCCCACAACAATCCTACTTACGCAGCCCACCATGCGTTGTACTGTTACCTTGTTACAGGGTATAGGATGACTCGCTAACTCCATTAAAGGCTGATAATCTTCTGATGTAATATTACAGGGATTCTTGTAAATGAATGCATGTTTTAATGATTCCCATATTTTTAGGCAATCCTTATCTCTGCCGAAAGATTAAAACATAATTAGTATTTATGAGTATTTATGGCTGTGAAAGGATCTTCTTCTCTTATGGTCAAACACTATGGATCAGATTTTAAAAGAGTTCTGACGATGCTTGGGCACCAAAATACATTAGCCATTACAAAAGCAGACTATCTTCAGCAGATTAAGTATAAACTGAGGAATGAGAAGTTCTAAAACATCTTTCTCTCTCTCCCGCATTTTAAATTACTGATTATTGCAATATCTGAATGTCCTCTGTGTTTTTGTCCCTTAGAAAGAGCAGTGCTGATATCACATAACCAGATCAAATTTCTTGATTATTCATACCAAATCATGAGATGCAAAGCAGACTATAGCTTGTACATTTTAAAAGTATGGCTGAAGGATACTGCCTCCTCAGGTACAGTGAGCCAAAAATATGCCCATGTGTCTCCCTGTGGAGCGTTCAACCCTAGAGAAATAATACCTATAATTTTATCTAAAACAAAAGCAGGGATCTGGCTGTTTTGGACCTGATATTATTTTCATTTATGCACTAATTTGCAGCTATTGAGTTTGCTGGAGCCACAGCTCATTTCCACACGTATAACCAAGATCCAGATCAGGTGCTTGGTCTCCAGTGTTTTTTTTCAGTCTCCTTCTGATCCTCCACCACGTTACAGGTTCTGGCCCTTTTGCTCTCACTGGCATGAGTCAGAGGAATTCTACTAAATTTACATGGGGGGAACTGCTTCATGCCATGACACAACCCTATCACCATAGCCTACTCTTGTTTCTTAAGATGCTGCTTCATCAGTCTAGGAAATAAAGCACCCCTCTGCTGGCAGAAGCAGGGCTCCTTTTGTACTACCAAGAGGAAGTCTGTTGCACAGTGCAGGCGAGCAATCGTATCTCTGTACTGAAGCAGTGCCATGCTCCCTTCCTGAGGCTGCAGCATACAATAACATTTGGGACGGTGTCGAGGTTTAACCCCAGCCAGCAGCTAAGCCCCACACAGCTGCTCACTCATTCCCCCCCCCGGTGGGACCGAGGAGAGAATCAGAAGAGTAAAAGTGAGAAAACTCATGGATTGAGATAAAGGCAGTTTAATAGGTAAAGCAAAAGCCGCGCACGCAAGCAAAGCAAACCAAGGAATTCATTCACTCCTTCCCATGGGCAGGCAGGTGTTCAGCCATCTCCAGGAAAGCAGGGCTCCATCACGCGTAACGGTTATTGGGAAGACAAATGCCATCACGCCGAATGTCCCCCCTTCCTTCTTCTTCCCCCAGCTTTATATACTGAGCATGACGTCATACGGTGTGGAATATC